TTTATGAGTAAAGGAGGATAGGACATCCAGTTGGCAGCAGAAAGAATTGAAGGTATAATATTCAGGTATTAAAGTTCTAGAAAAACAGAAGTCAGAGTGGAGATGCGTTTTCTAAGTTCCCGTATGTATCACTGTAAGGCAAAATTATGAAATCAGAAGGCAAAATCTCGCTTGCTTTGGCCATGTCATGGGAGGGAATTCACTGGAGAAAGCAATTATTTTGGGAAGAATTAGTGGTAAAAAGAAACCAGGCCACGAAAGAGCACGGTGGCTGGACACCATCAAAGCTGACACCAGTCAGAAGCCTAGAATAACTCAAAGAAGCAGTGCAAGATTGGAAGATGTGGAAAGACCTGGTCCATAGAATCACCAAGAGTTGGACATAACTGCATGGATATCAATATCACCATCACCATCACCATCACCATCATCAACTAGATGACCAAATAAACTGAGCCTCTACAACTTGAAGGAGAAATTGCCATGTTGAATTTCCTAAATGGTATTTCTCAGGCATAGATTGATTGATTGATCGATTGATTCTTGTAATGCTTATGTGTTTGATTTCTTATTGTGTTCCTTACACTCTGCCCCAAGTCTCTATTGGTTCATATCGCAGTTGGTTATTTACATAATTGCTTCCTGAATCTTTAGCAGTTTGGGAACCCTACATTATTATGTTCCTCAATACTTATTTTAGAGAAACAATGCCATAAAAAGAGAGGGGGGCTCAAAATTATCTATCTCTCTATCTATCCCTCTATCCCTCTATCCCTCTGTCCCTCTATCCCTCTATCCTTCTATCCATCTATCCATCCATCCATCCATCCATCCATCCATCCATCCATCCATCCATCCATCCATCCATCCATCCATCTATCTATCTATCTATCTATCTATCTATCTATCTATCTATCTATCTATCTATCTATCTATCTATCTATCTATCTATCTATCTATCTAATCTTTTATCCATGTAAGAGTTGTGGTAGCACAGTGATTAGAATGCAGTATTGCAGGTTAATTCTGCCCATTGCCAGGAGTTCAATCCTGACGGGCTCAAGGTTGACTCAGCCTTCCATCCTTCCAAGGTCAGTAAAATAAGGACACAGATTGTTGGGGGCAATAGGCTGACTTTGTAAACCACTTAGAGAAGGCTGTAAAGCACTATGAAGCGGTATATAAGTCTAAGCGCTATTGCTATTTCTCTCTGTCTCTCATATGGCATATTCGATAGTAATTCCAGGACATATGCTAGTTATTCCAATAGATATTTATTGAATGTGCCATATCGATAAATATGTACTGGAATAACTTAACATTTGTGCTGGATTAACTAACTCTGTTAGGCTTGCTCAGTCCCTACTATGCTGAACAGAAAACATGAGATTTCACTGCATTTTTTTTAAATAGTTTCACAGCTAAGTGCATTTTGCTCATGAATCCGCATTCCAGGATGTAGAAATATTTTTTGCTTCCTTGCTTTTTGAGGAGGGGCAGGCCGATGATTAAAGCATGCAATTCTGGAGACTTCCTCAAAAGGTTGGAGAATTGATAAGTCTACAAGAGAGAAATAAAGTGTCTTCTGATCGGCTGTATGATTTCATTACCTGCTCACTTCCCTTTGGGAGAATTTTATCAGTGATTCCTGGCACAGACCCCAGACAGAGTACTAACAATTGTGGGATTAACATAAGGGCGATGTTTCAGCAACACAAATTATATGGAAGACAGCATCACAGGGACTCCAGGATGGAAAACCCCAAGGATCTACATCTTTGCATAATTATGATCCCAGATCCCAATTTCATGCCCTTCACCTCAAACATAAGCACAGATCAGAAGCAAAGTTAGAAAGTGGAAAAACTTTATTGAAGAAATCTTTTTATGTGTGTGTGAAGCTGGACAGCTAATACTGCCTACATTTAAGATATGTCAAAATCCTTAACAAGGTTCTTGAAGGTGAGTTATTTGCTGATAAATGAACAGATGTGGAGATTGGATACTAATTGTCCACCACTTACTGTACAGTGAAGCAAAGATTATCTCTTCCATTTAGCTTCTGAATGCTATAGGGGTTTAGTAAAATTATTCTGAAGTGACCAGAACCGTATTTAAGTGTTTGTTAATAAATTGATCGAAGGGAATGGGAAAGTGTAGGGTTATCACTGAGATGGGCCAATCAGCAACACACAACATAGTCTAAGTCTGGAGGAAACATAAGTCAGTGCACATACAGGAAATCCTTGACATACAGACATTCATTTTGTTACACGGTCACTGGGAAAAGTGATTTATGACTGGTCCTCACACTTATGATGGTCACAGCATCCCCATGGTCACATGATCGAAATTTGAACACTTGGCAATTGGCACATATTTATGTTTCAGCATCCTGGGGGGTCACGTAATCACTATTTATGATCTTCCCAGCCGGCGGCCAACAAACCCAGTTAATGGGGGAAGCTGGATTCGTTTCACAACCGAACAACTGCAGCGATTCGTTTAACAACCATGGCAAAAAAGGGTCATAAAATCAGTCGTGACTCACTTAACAGCCTCTTTGCTTAGCAACAGAAACTCTGGTTCCAGTTTCGTCCTAGGTTGAGGACTACAGTATCTGTACTGATTGAAATAACCTCACATTGGGGGCTAGGATTATTAGGTTTTCCTGGATCACGGTTCAGCGTTACAACTTACTCCTTCGATTTCGCATGGTTTAATTTGGCTGCTAAACCTGGGTTTGGCAGAGGTCTGTCACACACATGGCGTGACATGGCTAGGTCAACCGGTCCGTCCTAGAGGAGATCAACCCCGACTGCTCTTTAGAAGGCCAGATCCTGAAGTTGAAACTCAAGTACTTTGGCCACCTAATGAGAAGGAAGGACTCACTGGAGAAGAGCCTGATGCTGGGAAAGATGGAGGGCAAGAGAAGAAGGGGAGGACAGAGAAGGAGGTGGCTGGATGCTAATCCCGGCTGTTACACACTTCAGTAATATCCACTATTTATCAACCAAATAACCCCCACCACAGGACTTATTTTTTAAAAATCCTCTTCTTCTAAGACCCTACAGTTTTCAAAATGGATTACATAAAACTCGAGAAGTACAGTTCAAGCATGATATCTAGATAGAGATAGAAGCTTAGGTACAGAGACACAGAGAGAGAGAGAGAAAGAGAGAGAGAGAGAGAAAAAGAGAAAGAAAAAGAGAGATACATGCACACTTTCCCCATAATGAGCATTCACAAGGAGATAAAACAGCTTTGAATTAAACAGAAGATAAAGAGAGCATGAAAAATAAGATTCAAATAACAATTGGCCCCACCTTCATGTAAACCAGGGGTAGTCAACCTTGGCTCTTTTATGACTCGTGGACTTCAATTCCCAGAATTCCTGAGCCAGCTGGCTCAGGAATTCTGGGAGTTGAAGTCCACGAGTCATAAAAGAGCCAAGGTTGACTACCCCTGAAACGGAAGAGGTAATTTGCTGTCTTTACTTTTTCCAAAGATATAGGTAGCCAACAAATTATAGATAGTCCTCGACATAGAACCATTTATTTAGTGACTGTTCAAAGTTACAACAGCGCTGAAGATGGGGAAATGACTGCTTTTCACACTTGCAATCCTTGCAGCACCTCACAGTCATGCAGGGCTTTTTTTCAGCCGGAACGCGGCGGAACCGCGTTCCGGCACCTTTTTCCGGGCCGGCCGCACCGGAAATAGCCCCTCCCACACCGGAAATAGCCCCTCCCAAATTTTACTTGCATTCCTGTTCTCTAAAGGGGCGGTCCTAGGGTTTGATGAGGGCGTGGCCAGGTTTGAGTTCCGCCACCTTTTCTCC